GATGGCAAAGATTGGAGAAAATAGTGTGTGTGTGGAGGGATCTTTAGGAAGTTTGTGTAACTTGTTTTGTAATTCAGAAGGATAGGCTTTCCTCCTCGGGGTACGTAATGAGATCTTGTTGGTGAAGAATTTAACTCACTTGGATTTCAAGGGACAAGCAGGACATCTATTCATAGAGGCGATGTCTAGTTGACACGCCTTTTTTGAAAGTATCTTCTAGACAACAAGAAGATTTTTTGAAAAAGCAGCTCGCTTTTTCGAAAGAGAGTCTAGGCACTCTCTTTTGAAAAAGCCCTGTTTTCATGCAAGAGTGCCTTTTTTTAAAGATGACTTTCGAAAAAAGGCGTTATTCCTTGAAGGGTGTGCCTAGACTGCAGGGCTTTTTTTCGAAAAAACTGTACCTGCGTCTAGACTACCGCTGCGTTCTGTCGACAGTAAATCGAAAGGATGCGGTGGTTTTGTCGATGGCAGTAAACCTCATTTTATAAGGAATAACACCTTTTTTCAAAAGTCATCTTTCGAAAAAAGTCGCTATTGCATGAAAACGGATTTTTCAAAAGTGAGCGTTTAGTCTTTCTTTTGAAAATGCGAATCACTTTTTTGAAAAATCTTGTTGTCTAGATGCTCTTTTTCGAAAGAGGCGTGTAGTCTGGACATAGCCATAGAATGAAGTAAATCTTTTGATTTACTGTCGACAGAATGCAGCGGTAGTCTAGAGGCAGGCACAGTTTTTTTCGAAAAAAAGGCCACTTAAAAAAACCCCAAACTTGTAGTCTAGACACAGCCAGAGAGAGGATAGGGGGTTGGTGTTTAGCAAAGAATGTAATTCATTGGGGGCTGATTTATATGTTATTTTGACTTTTCATGTTAGGATTCAAAATTAGAAATATTTATGGCATTTATCCAGAGGAGAGAACTGGGGAGAAAGTGAGGGGCTTGATAGAAAAGGGAAACAGCTCTGAAAGCTTACAAGCAGAAATCATGCCATACTCAAGTACAGTTACAGGGTCTTTTCTCCTTCCTCTTGATATCGAGTCATAGGATCAAGTTGACCACTAATGGAATCAGGTGCAGTAACACTGAAGTCAGGAATTTTGTGCCTGTTTGCATAAATGATGAATATGGTCCATTTTGTTTAAAATATTGCTCTGACTGTTAGTGAAGCCTGTGGTGGGCACTACCAAAAACATATAATACATTATATTTCTCTTTCTTTGTAGCACCTGGATACTGGATAAAAGCACAGGAATCTGCACCTACCAGGAAGTAGCCCCTGGATAAAGATGTTTTAAAGCCGGGGGCATGGAAGATTGAGCTTAAGTGCAGAGAAGAAAATTTATAAAACTAGGTGCTAACCACAGTGTCTCAGTACAAAGTGTGCAGGAGTTGCTTCAGTAACATCTTTATGGCACCAGTCAAGCAAAGTATCCCTTTAACTTTGAGAATTAATACTTCTTCTGACTTTAAGGGGACAAGTCAGAGTTAGAGTTAAGCACATGGTTAAGTGCTTTGCTGGTTTAGGGTCTGTAGGAGCAAGGCAAGATTTAATAATGACATAAGATGATATGTAGGTCACCTTCAGAAGTACCGTTTTGAAGAGCTCACTCACAGAAGTCTTGAGAAGACACAATCAAGCACCACAGGAATGCAGGAAGCAAAAAAAAAAAGCCAAAAAGTAAATGTGGAACTCTCTAAATCGACAAGTCACTACAGAATGTTACGTCTCTACAAGGGTTGGAGGCCAAGTTATAAGATTGACTAGTTTTGTGAAAGGGCATAGAAAGGAAGAATATTGATGCATATATAGCTAACTAAAACATATTTGATTTAATCAATACTAAAAGGAGTAGGACAACAATAAATACAGGTATGCTGATAAAATATATTATATTGTAAATATAAAAATATCACTAGGAAAATTCATAATCTGTCACCAATATTTACCCAGAGTTAATGTAAAAATGAGACTTTTTAAATTGGTGATGTTTTGTTTGTCATTAAAATAATCGAACGGACATTTGTAGTATCTGCTTTTGATTAACAGACATCCCAACAGGTTACAAAACAATTTCAATATGTATATTTCAATTGCTTTTATAACAATGAATGCTGAAAGGATTAGCACTAGAATTATGCATGGAGCTGGTTTTCAGTGTTGAGCAAAAGTGTGTTTTTAAACAATTAATACAAGCCATCATAAATTACTCAAGTTAGTTTTCTCCTTTCTTAAATCTGCAAGTGACAGATGTTCACGCTCATATTGAATCTAGCCAATGGTGCAGTTTTGAAGGTACAAATATAGCTAAGTTCCAACAGAACTTGCTCAAAGCATTAATTCATAAGACAGAGCTTTAACTAGTTCTTTGCTTACATAAAGAGGGCATAGAATCCTTATTGGTTTGCTGAAAACTGGTATTTTAGTGTAGTGTAAGTGCCACAGATTAGTACTCCTAGATACTTTGGTTACTGATGCCTGGCTCTGGGGTCCCAGTGGGGATCTTTTTAAACTGCTCTGCCCGTAGGTGGAGGCTGGGTATAGTGTGTGAAGGGCATTGAAATTATTGCTGGTGAAAAGCATGTTTGAGAATAGTTGCAGGAAGGGAGAGGGGATACACACAGGGCCCTGTAAAGATCAGGGTGGCTGTGCCCTACCTTCTCTGCTACCCACGTATTTCACTTCTACCAGACTCTGGCAGGTTTGACAGCATCTTTGGTAATTGCTCTTCACATCAGGTTATATGACCTGATGTTCCAAGTGCGGGAAGAGGTAGCCAGCAAATTTGTATGCTATAGTTAGTCATCCTCTAGGAATTTTATAGGGACTACCACTAGGGTTGTTAAATATCGACTAATTGAATAGTTGTTGCGTTTTGTATCGACTATTTTTTTTGTCGATAGGCTGCCTCCACCTTTGAAGGTGTTGCTACACTATAAAGACAAAAGTGCCATGTGGAAGTGCGGGAAGAGGTAGCCAGCAAATTTGTATGCTATAGTTAGTCATCCTCTAGGAATTTTATAGGGACTACCACTAGGGTTGTTAAATATCGACTAATTGAATAGTTGTTGCGTTTTGTATCGACTATTTTTTTTGTCGATAGGCTGCCTCCACCTTTGAAGGTGTTGCTACACTATAAAGACAAAAGTGCCATGTGGAGCCTGGGGTCAACTGGCTGCCAGGAGCCTGGCGGCAGGCTCCTTGCAGTGTTTCAAAGCAGCAGCGCTGCGTGGAGTCTGGGGTCAGCAGGGGAGTCCCCAGCTGATCCTAAGCTCCATGCTGCACTGCTGCTTTGAAATGCTGCGTGCAGCCTTGGGACACCCCAGCTGGCCCCAGGCTGCATGTGGTGTTTCAAAATAGCAGCACCGCATGGAGCCCAGGGTCTGGCCCAGGCTCCAAGTGGCGCTGCTGCTTTGAAGTACCCTCTCTTACTCTCTCTTCTTCCCCCCACTTGCTGCTTCTTTCTGATGGAGGCAGCAAGGAGGGGGAAAAGTGATTAGTTGACTAATTGACTAGTCCTTCACATCCCTAACTACCACTTCAGTTCACATAGGTCACAAAACAGTCATCATCTAATAAAGACTCTCATTATTGATCTGTCCTGGATTTGACCAATCGTTCAGAAAGACTAAAGACTCTCATTATTGATCTGTCCTGGATTTGACTAATCGTTCAGAAAGACTCTGTGTATCATTCTCTTCCATGACTCTGGTTCTCCTTTCTATCCTGTTTATGGGAAGGATTTTGTAAACTTCTGGTTCTCCTTTCTATCCTGTTTATGAAAGATTTTGTAAATGCGGCTTGTGTTATTCCCCTGGTAGAAATGAAGCTGTCAGAGTTTCGTAAGTAAAAAAAATAAAAAATAAAAAAAAGATTTTGTAAATGCGGCTTGTGTTATTCCCCTGGTAGAAATGAAGCTGTTAGAGTTTTGTAAGTAAAAAAAATAAAAAATTATTTTTTGCTTTCACTCTAGAATTATGGGTTCAGCTAAGCTCTAGCTTCTAACTCTTGGCAGTGCGTAACAGCAAGTAGCAGGAGTGTAATGTTACTTTATAATATGATTTTATAAAAGTGCTTGAAATTTTGTTTTCTTTTTCTTTATTTCTACCATTAATCAAGGCCACATTTTAAACAGAGATGCCTCATTATTTGGAAGTGAGTCAGAAAGATGTCTGTAGTTCTTTATGTTCAGCAAATGTCTCTGACATGATATAGATTCTCAGGGGACCAACTCCAGTTTCCAGAGTGAAAAGGAAACATAAAGACTTTTACAAACTGAGATATTTTTATTGGTATCACCCCTGTTTAGAAGCTGTCTGGCCAAGTTTGCCTCAAACTAACATTCCAAAATCTACTACTGTTAGATTTTTGTTTTATTTTGAAGTCCTCTTGGCAGTACAACATACATTTACAGAGAACAGGCTTTGTCCATTAAACCGGCAACCTGTGGAAATGTTTAAAGCTCATTTGTAACGGTTTACTTCTATAGTTTCTCAGAAGATTTTATCACTGGAAAAAAACGCTAAAGAAGTTTTCTTCTTAAAAGACCACAACAGCAATTTCCAAGTACTTTTCATTTGTAGCATCTGTACATGACAGATAACGTAGTCAGCCTTTTGCTCCTCAAGCCACGGAAGCAGCATGCTTTTGGGTGATGTGATATACTCTAGAGATATCCTAGACAAGTAGGCTACGTCTAGACTGGCATGATTTTCTGCAAATGCTTTTAACGGAAAAGTTTTTCTGTTAAAGGCATTTGCGGAAAAGAGCGTCTAGATTGGCACGGGAGAGAGGGGAAAAAACCCAAATGTGTGATGATCCCTACTGAATAAAGAGAGAGAAGCAGGGGACAGATTCAGAGAAAGGACAAAGGGGAATGGCCAATACAAACATAGATAGTATTGATTATCATACCTATCCCTTAAAAAGGGGATAGAGAATAAGATAGAGAATATCTTATTGCCTTTATATAAAACCATGGTATGTCCACATCTTGAATACTGTGTACTGATGTGATCACCTCATCTCAAAAAGGTATAGTGGCATTGGAAAAGGTTCAGAAAATGGCATAAAATGATTAAGGGTTTGGCATGGGTCCCATAGGAAGACAGATTAAAAAGACTGAGACTTTTCTGCTTGGAAAAGAGGACACTAAAGGGGGATATGATAGAGGTTTATAAAATCATAACTGGTGTGGAAAAAGTGAATAAGAAAAAGTTATTGACTTGTTCCCATAATGTAAGAACTAGGAGTCACCAAATGAAATTAATAGACAGCAGGTTTAAAACAAGCAAAAGGAAGTTTTTCTTCACTCTGTGTATAGTCAACCTGTGGAACTCCTTGCCAGAGGATATTGTAAAGATCAGGACTTTAACAGGGTTAAAAAAAGAACAAGACAAATTCATGGAGCTTAGGTCCATCAGTGGCTATTAATGGCTTGTCAGAGGCTTGGATTGGGTGATGGGAGAAGGATTACTTGATGATTACCTGTTCTGTTTACTCCCTCTGAGGCATCTGGCATTGGCCACTGTTGGAAGACAGGATACTAGACTAGATGAACCTTGGATCTGACCCAGCATGGCCGTTCTTATTGTTCTTGTGTACTACTGGTTTTCCCACTTTTGGGGGATATGTTAGTGATGAAGGGTTAATACAAATCAAATATCTCTTTGTACCCTGCTGTAACCATGTGATAAAGCAAAGAGCCAAATATGTATGACTATAAATTCAGCGTAACTCTACTAAAGCCAATAAAGATCCCCTACTAAGGATATATGTAGATGTAACTGAGATTAGAATCTAGCCCAAGTTAGTTTTGATCCTTCCTGGGAGTACTCAGGGCTTACTGTCATCTGCCCGTGCTTGCCATAGGTCATCTCCTTAACGGCACTGGCTAATTATAATGCATGCACTCCCCTCCAGGCCTCACAGAACCTAATGTTATTTTAGAGTTTGGCGATTGGCACACCTTAGCCCTCAAGCCCTCTGACCTCTTCCTGGATTACCCAGGCTCTGGACATGCCTAGATTTGCAGGTTCCAAAAGTACCTACCAATTGTACCTCAAATTACCACTCTGCTTAATTCACAGCACTTAGATTTGTTCACACTGAAATAAAATATACATTTATTTAACAAAAAGCCAATTAGCCCGTCATAAGATGGGATTTTCAGGTCTCTCCTCCACGTCAGTCTTCTTTCCTGAGCCTCTGGTCTCTTGCTCTCTCTCTCTCTTCTCCTCCTCCTACTGCCTCCCCCCCCTCAGCTCTTCTCCCCCTCCTGCCTCTCACTTGGGGGACCGTGGAGCCCAAACGGCTGTTTGGGCGCCGCACTCCCCGTGCTGCAAGGGGAGCCCAGAGCCCAAACAGCCACTTGCTCCACTAGCTCACATGTGGCGGCCTGGCTGAGTGGCACAGAAGTCAGCCAAGCGCCATAGCAGGAGGCGAAGGGGGGCGGTGACATT